CCTTCAAAACTTTCCCTCGCCTCTGGTATCCGCATAACCTCTCAACTCTGGGTTATATCCCTATGAGCTCCCAGAGCCTCACTGCTCTCCCAAGATAGCACAGCAGTTCATTTAGCATTCCCTGGTAGCAGTAGCTTTCCGGGCCAGGAGCTCCTAACCCTGTGGCTTGCAGGGCTCAACTGACTTGAGGCCCTGGGCTTGTGTTTCCCAGGACGTTGCCCCCTTCCGGTCAGGAGAGTACCCTGGGCTGTCTGCAGGTCCCTGCTAATTGATCTCATTGCCCAGTAATTATGGCAACCCAGTTGCAGCTGTGCCCTGCCTAGCACACTGTGCTCCCTCTCTGGGCTGATTTCTACCTTGAAGTAACAGAGTCCCTGTTTACACTGTGTATATGAGCCTAACATTAGAATTATGGTATGGAATAACTTTCATTTCTGCAAATTGGCTGACCAGCAAGAGTCAGGAAGTTCAGTTGAATTAGAGTTTCACTATGTGCTGGCAGAGAATTTTAAGCCTTGATTAGCAAGAGGATAAAACTGTCAAAGTACTAAGTATTTTTTGTACAAAGTGTGCTGCAGTCTAAGAACAGTGGATTCTTATTAACAGTTAAGTATTTTTATTTTTTTAATCCTGAGCTGCTTGGCAGTTATCTAAGATGGACCCTTATTATTTGTGTCTTGTGAGAGATTGTTTGAAAATAATCAATTAGCTTGTTTCTGTTGTCCCACAAAAGTGACATCCATACAAACAGTTCACATTTTGTGTGCAACTACTACAAAATTTGTGTGGAATTGCTTCTTTACCATGATAGAAACTGTGGAATCACTTAGGTAAAACTGCAGTGATTTATCTTGTTAAGGTCTGTAACTTGGTGTTACTGCATATCTGGCAATGGCGGTCCATGCATGGGAAAATATAATTTTTTATGTCTATTAAAGGCAGAAACAAACCAGAAAACTGATATGATGTACTTGTTGTAAAAGGATAGGAAAAAGCTAGTAGAGTAGCTTCATTCTAGGCCAGGAGTTGGCACCGTTTTTGGGTAGAGTGCCTAAAACACCTGCAAACTCAACTTGTAAGTTGCTGGGGTGGATGGTGGAGTAGCAACAAGGGGCCTAATCCTTGATGTGGCTGTGCAGCCCTGGCCCCTTCCCTCAGGTGCAAGTGCCTAGCAAAATGCTTTTGCGTGCCAGGCTCTGGCATGCATGCTAGGGGTTGCCTACCCTGTTCTAGGCAAACGCTTAGTTTGCTTTTACGGCATTAGTGAAGTATTTATAAATATAAGTAACTTCATTTTAGCGAGGGATGGAAATATCCTGTATTGAATGGAAGAATATTTCATAAAAAGAAAATCAACATTTTTATCCATTCTTGGCAAAGCATGAGTGGGGTTTTTTTGTTTTTGTTTTAATATTTTTAGATCTTCTAAGAAAGCCGAGGCAGAAGAAAACCGCAGTTACAAGCAAAAAAAGAAAAGGCGACGCATTAAAGTTCAGGAGGATTCCTCCAGTGAAAACAAGGTACTGGACAGAATGTTTGTTTTGAATGAACTGGTGAAACAGCAGTGAAACTGGTGAACTGCTGTTTCACGGTGAACTGGTGAAACAGCAAAATCACAATACTCTTTGTGATTTTGATAACAGCTGTCAGGGTAGTTTGGTCTCTAGATCATGCATTTCCAAAGGGTAGGTTGGGACATTGGTTGTCTTCAGTATATTTTGCAACATTTTGAATCTATTAAAATTCAGCAAATAATTGTAGTAATGAAACTTCAAATGTGCAGATAACCTTTTGCTAACTCTTCTCAAATAATAGTGCGTGCTCTTTGGCACATGTTCTGCAGTACAAGACTTAAATGCAAAGCTAGATGAAATCACACTGAAATATGTTTTGATTCATTGTGAAAGAAAGAAAGAAAGAATATTCATATCAGTGCTTCAGTCTACTCAACTATTTTCAATTTACAACATACTGTAGGTGTTTAAGTGGAAGAGTTTTCAATCAAGGATCCAAAGCTGGCCATGGTATCAACTTTAGGGATTTTCGTGTAACGTAAAGCCATCGGTAACTAAAATAATTCACACTAAACTTATTTCAGCATGATTTCATCTAGACTTGTGTTGGTCGCGCACACGTGTGTAGGTTGTCTTGTAATCAAGTCTTATTTGATACAGTTTGCAGTGAATTGAACACTCCAGCAAAGGCTTGAAATTTATATTTATTTTTTATGTTGGCATACAAATTCAAGATATCCTGGTCCGTTGAGAGAATTTTTTTAGTCAAAATACTTTTTTCCTCCTTGTTTAAAACAGTACACAAAATTTATATCTTTAAGCTGCACAGTAGAAGGAAAAAAAAAGTCCCTTGTCCTTAGGTTCCCAATGGGAGATTTTTTCTGTTTCTGATGGCAGAAAATTTCCAAAATTGCTTTATAGTCAAGCCCGATTTCAAATCTAAATTTGAAATTTAAATGTGTGATGTGTCTTTATTAGCAGTAGCAGCAGGTAGTGGTAGAGAGATCAGCTATCTTTTGGTATTCAGGAGAAATGGGGAAGAAGACCTTGTAGGCTTTTCTTGATGCCTTTCATACCTGGAATTGCTGGCAATTGTTAAATTTGGGCATATCAATGCATGTATTGAATTAAAGGGAAGAAAGGACATTTTCTAAAATCATGTTACCTAACATTTATTTGAAAGTACCTCTAATGTAGCAAACATTCATAATTGTATAAAAATGCAATTAGCACACATTCATGATTTACAAAATCTTATAAAGAATGATAAATTGTCTTTGAGTTTGTAATAATTGTTTTAGATTGTGCTGGTTGTTAACTTGTTTAAAAATCAGGCATATTCCCCAGTGCCTAAAGGAACCCTGTTTGTCAGGAATTTGACCACTAGTTCAGAAGTCAGGATTATAATATTTTGTCTTATTTTTCATATTAACAATCAATTCTTTTGAATTCTAATAGAGCAACTCTGAGGAGGAAGAGAATGATGATTCAAAATCTCCTGGAAAAGGCAGGAAGAAAATCAGAAAGATTATTAAAGATGATAAGCTTAGAACAGAGACACAAAATGCACTGAAAGAGGAGGAAGAAAGAAGAAAACGTATTGCAGAAAGAGAGCGAGAGAGAGAGAAACTGAGAGAGGTATGTTTTATTTACTGTATGTGGAATATTGCTGGGTAATTGAAATGCTGGCGCTATTTTAAAGGCATAAATTCAGCTGAGGTAAAAAACATAGTGTGTTTAAAAAAAAAACGTAGGTTTATGTAAGCATACAAATCATTCATGACAATGAAACTTGTAACTTTGCAAATTCTCCACCCTTCAGTAAGTAGTTTTGCATGGAAACAAATCCTGTAAATCAACATGGGAAAAGATAAAAGCATTAGATTTTAAAAAAAAAAATCTTTTTGAGTTTAGCAAATGAGGGTCTTGCTACTCTGAATTTGTCTTTCTCTAGAAGGACTCAAATTAGTCATGGGCAGTGGATTCCTATTATGCAGTATGCTTTTTTTTGCTTTCAGGTGATAGAAATAGAAGATGCTTCACCTCTGAAGTGTCCTATTACAACTAAACTGGTTTTAGATGAAGATGAAGAAACCAAAGAACCATTGGTGCAGGTTAACAGACATATAGTTACTAAACTGAAACCACATCAAGTAGATGGTAAGAAATTATGAAGAGAACTGTTTAATTGTTTGGGGGTTTTTTCTTTTTAATACCTTTGCTGGGGACTGTGGAAGATGTTTGAAAGATCAATTCAAGATAACAAAATTTGTAGAATTTCTGACGGGTTTCTTAATTTTTCTTTTGTTGGGAACATATTAATCTGAAGAAAATGAATGCAGACTTAGCATTGTTGATTTTCTGTAGAAACGTAAAATCAGTGAAATGTAGGGCTGGGAAAAGACCTTCCTTCTTTTTCCTTCCTTTCCTCCATCCCACCCTTTTCTTCCTGCCTGCTTTAAGGGAGAATGAAACATACCTGATACTACTTTATTTTACCACCCTGATAGACAGTATTTTGTTTAATACTTTAGCCTCACATTTGTAGGGTTTCTTTGGCCTGTCCCTAGTAGACCTAGAAAACTGATCACATTCTTCTCTGTAACATGCTTTTTATATAATAAAAAATTATCATGATTTTAGCAAGGCTTTTGACAAGAGCTGCAATGACATACTCATTAGAAAACTAAGGAAATAAAGACTAGATAAAGTACTGTAAGGTGGATATGTGATCGTTCAACTACAGTACTTATGTTCATCAGGTAGTCATCAGTGGCTCAATGTCTAGTTGGGAAGAGGTCTGTGTTGTTTAATATTTTCATTAATGCTTTGGGCTAGGGACAGACATTGCACATAAACTGGTATAAGTAATTGGAAATGGGTTGAAATCTGTAACGTAACAGAAGTTCAGTGCATGTAAAGTGCAAGTGTAAGGTGATGCACCTGGGGAGGAACAATCGG